TTTGATGGTTATCTTTAATATGCTGATGCACTTATATCAATAGTTATTTTTATTGTTAATAAGTGCTCAGATATGTGAGAAAACATATCACAAATAAATGCAATGGTTTGAGACCTTTTTAGATCACTAAAACGCACGAAAACACATTTTCCGTTAATAATTTGCGCTGCAGCGCCCAAGAGGCACGCTGCAGCGCGTCCGTGCGCTGCAGCGCACTCTGCTGTGCGCTGCAGCGCGCAGGCTTAGCAAAACAGACCTGAGAGGTCTGTTTTGCGCAGGCTGCAACGCATGCTGCTGTGCGCTGCAGCGCGCGTGCCTAGCAAAATAGACCCGAGAGGTCTGTTTTGCGCAGGCTGCAGCGCCCAAGCGCGCTGCAGCGCGCGCTTGTGTCAGTCCACTCTTCCTGAATGTGTTTTAATCCAATTTGTGATATCAAAATTGAGAGGTATATTACAATCTCTCTAACAACAAAGAGATCCCTAGAATGTTCGTTGAAAGCCCTATAAGAGAGTTCTATCTTTTAGATGAGGAACGCATGATTCCAACCCCATTGAATGTGCTATTGATAAAGGTACATGGAAGCGTGTTCCCAAGCATTCTAAATCAAATACTAGACTATATGAAACAAATCTTTACACCTAATACTAAAAAAATTAACCCATAACTCGAATTTATGACCACAAACGCACCATGATACTCCATTACCACTAGGCCATCGTACTCAATGGTTAAGAAAAATAAATAAATAACTAGAGTTTGAAGAAGACTTATATCATTCATTTGATCTTGTATGGTTATTATTAAGAAAATCTAATACGCTTGCTAATATTGTCATTTGCAAGCGAATTCTAGAGAAAACTGAATACTGCGATTCTCGTATTGTGGCATTTCTTTAATAACATCATAATTACAAGTGACCAACCACAAAATAAAATGTTAAGGTATTGCGGGCAATCAAATTTGTTCTTTCCCTCAAACCAAAGGCAAGGATTAAAGTTCCTTTCCATGTTCCAAGATAATGCAAGTTTGAGGAGAAATACTTCAAAAAACAAAAATAGAAAGTGTCCCACAACTATTTCTGAAAACTTGCGTTAATCGAATTGCTTTTTTGTTTTTTGTTTTTGTTTTTTGGCTCACAGATAAACTATAAATTAAGACATAGATATAAAGGCTTATATTCGGGTTGCCCTTTGCTTTTGTGTCTAAAGAAGCTACTTAGAGTAGCTTTATGTATACAAATGTTAGTTAAAGGAAAAAGAAAAACACAATAAACAAAAGAAAAGTTCATACGTATTTATCTTTTTGGTGTCAGGTTGGCTAATACTAAATTAATTTCATATGCTATGTTTGGTAGGAAGGAAAGAAAATAGGATAGAAAGGAAATATAAAAATGATGGAAAATAGTAATGATGGAAAGGAAATTAATTTTTTTTATGATGTTTGGTATGAGAAGATGAAAAGAAAATTAGCTTACTTTCACTTGTTTGGTATTAGAAGTTAAATTGGGAGGAAAGAAAAAATTTTACTTGTAAATTACTTTTATACCCTTAAATTTTTTGCTTGGATGTTGATGGAGAAAATGATAGTTTAGTAACTTTGCTCACTTTAATGAGTTGTCTCCATTTTTCATCCCATTTTCTGCCCACTTGTGGAAAGAAAAAAAATAGTGGGACCCACATGTATTATTTTTCACTCCATTTTCTCTTCCTTTCTCTTTTCTCTCATACCAAACAACATACATTTTCATTTTCCCTCCCAAAATCCCTCCACCTTCTTCCTTTCTTCTACTTTTCTTTCCTACCAAACATACTCAATGTTTGGTAGGAAGGAAAGAGAATAGGATAGAAAGGAAATATGAAAGTGATGAAAAATAACAATGATGAAAAGGAAATTGATTTTCTTTTATGTTGTTTGGTATGAGAAGATGGAAAGAAAATGAACTTACCTTCACTTGTTTGGTATTGAAAGTTAAATTGGGAGGAAAGAGAAAATTTTACTCGTAAATTACTTTTATACCCTTAAATTTTTTGCTTGGATGTTGACGGAGAAAATGGTAGTTTAGTAACTTTACTCATTTTAATTAGTTGTCCCCATTTTTCATCTCATTTTTTACCCATTTGTGGAAAGAAAAAAATTGTGGGACCCACATGTACTAGTCCTAGATATTGGTTTTTTCCCCTTTTTTTCTAAGGTTTTATAATTTTCAGAAGATCAAAGAAGTCAAAGGATATGTTCGATATTCACCATAAAATTGACCACCAAATTGATCAAAACCATAAGTCCCTGCTTATGTCTAAATAATTAAAATTGCAGGACTTACATCTTCAAACAACAGGCTAAAATCAGTGGGCTTTATTTCCCATTTTGTTCATATGTTGGCATAGAGAATTTAATAGAAATTTAAATTTGTTATGAGAGGAAATATTGTAATAAAAAGATTTGTATTTCATAAAATAAATGCGTCCTTAGAAATTTTAGAGTCTATTTGGCAAAGTTTTTCCTTTTGCTTTTAGTCAATAAAAGTAATGAAATAAAAACTATAACTTTTCAATAACTATTTAGAATAGCAGAACTTAATGTGTCAAAATAATTTTTAAATTTTTTCATAAACACTAAGCCTCGTTCACTTCGCAAATTTGAGTTTTTAACTCAAGTTAAGATGTGACATTTTTTGAAAGTTTTTAACTGTAATAAAAAAAATTAGATGTGACATTATCTAAAAACTTTTAACTGTAAAAATTTAAAATTGAAAACTCAAATCAATAAAATAAATAAGATCTAAAAATATTAAAATGAAGTTTACGGTGTCCTAATAAAACTTGGATACAAATTTTAAAATTTATTAAGAAGTATTTTTTTAAAAGTTATATTTTATAATTTTAACTGGAAGTTATTTTAAAAAATTAAAGCCCTTCTAACACCATTTAAACACTTTTAAAAATAATTTTTGAGACTAAAAAGTAAAAGCAGCGTCTAGAAAGTTCCTTCCAACACACTCTTGCTCTGATGCTCTCTCTGTTTTTTGTTTTTTTTTTTTTTTGAACAAAATCTACAAGAGACTGATGTGATTGTGAGGGAATCTAAAAATGATGAGGATCGCTTGCATAACCTTAAGGTCTTTTCTAAGATCAAACCATATCTGACGGGCATTAATTAGTGAGATCTTATGTACGTGTTCCTTTCTCTCACTGAAGTGCTATTGAAAAGGGGAATAAAAAAATAAAAAATAAAAAACAAAAAAGATAGATATTTTGAGAACCCCACAATTCAACTTTTCCTTCTTTTCTCCGACTCTTAGAAGATTATTTAGGTCTCATTCACTTTGTGAATTTAAATTTTTAATTTGAGTTTAGATGTGACATTTTTAAGAGTTTTTTATTGTAATAAAAAAAGTTAGATATGACATTTTTTGAGAGCTTTTAACTGTAAAAACCTAAAATAAAAAATTCAAATCGGTGAAATGAACGATGCCTTATTTTATATTTAGTTATCATATTCGTGCCATGATTCGAATCATAATTCGTGATTCGCTATAATATTTTTTTACACAAAAAATACACGTAAATCGAGAATAGTTTTGAATTATGATTCTAAATTCATGAACCAAACGTCTACTTAACAATCTCAAAACAATTTATCTGAAGTGCTCTGAGCCCTTAATTAAGGGTCCGTTTAATTCACTGATTCGAGTTTTTAATTCGAGTTAAGATGTGATTTTATATGAGAGTTTTTACTATAATAAAAAAATTAGATGTGACTGTTTTTTAAAATTTTTTATTGTAATAAAATTTAAATTTTAAACTCAAATTAATAAAATAAACAAAGTTTAATTATTTGAGCATTACGATCCGTACATTTGAAGGAGAACCGTTGAACCATCATGAAAGAAAAAGAAAAAGGGTTAAAAAAGTGAACGGTATAAGCAGCAGCATCATAAACTCAACAACCTCAGCAAGCAAAGTCAGAAAGAAGACACAGACAGCAGACAAAGACGGCACCAAAATCCTCGAATAGGATCGCAAGAATCTCATCACAGTTTGTTTTGTGATTGTTAAGATTTTTTTTTTGTTTTGTTAAGCATTTTAAACAAGAATCTTGGATAGAAATGTCTGCTTGGCTGTTGTCCACTCTAAATACAGTCTCACTTTTATACCTACATACAGACGGCCATGGTTTAGAGCCACAATTAGCACAATATGGCTTTTTTTTTTTTCTTTTTTTTTTTTTTTTGGTAAAAGCACAATGACTAAAGTTACTCATTCCACTTGCATGAGAGAATGTTTTAACAAGAAAATAAAGTAGTGAATTTTATAATAATTTGTCTATGTAATTCACTTCCGTACATAAATTAATGTGTCATAATTAGTCAACGTAAAAGACTCTGAGACAAGGTGTTTAAGTAAAGACAAATAAATGAAAAATGTATTTCATGCAGAGTGTATTTAATTTGTACTTTGTGCCTCGATATTGTGCTATGGCAAGTCGACATAGCTCACCTATTGAGCGTGAGTAAGAAACACTACAAATTTTGTGCATGTGTTATCTTTTCTTTCCTCTATTCGTTTCCTATTGCTCTAGCATAGAAGGAATTAGGACTTTTTAACTCTTAATATGCCGTGCACCCATTATCAATTGTGAAAGCATACACATATTGCAAAGAAAATGGAATTGTAATTATGGAGTCATACATTCATTTGATGTCATGAGAACATTAACATGTTTTTAATAAAGCAATATGGACATAAGCATTATCAATAAACAATGTAGTATTCAATCTTAGTGAGTCAACTAGAATATAAGTGTTATTAATCACTGATTCTTTTTGAAATTAGAAAAAGTATGGTTGATTTTACTGCATATTTTAAGGTTCAAATAACCCGCAATGACAATAGCACTTCGACGACGACCCACCATTGGTTTTCCAAAAGCAAAAAACTGTATAAAATGACCCTCAGATGCCAATCTTCCTTGGCCAACTTTGTAAGCTGTCTGCGCTTGTTGCTGAATCTGATGCTTTTCGTATTCTCCTCTCTCCCATCTCTGTTTCTCTCAATCTCTCCAGATTGAGCGTGTTTCTCATGCTTTCCCTTTTTTTATTAACTCCTTTTCTTTTCCCCGTATTAACCATGTTAAAACTATAAATAACAACACAAATCAGCCATTTTTATCAGTGCCCAACTCCTTCATTTTCTCTTGCCTTTCTTTACCTCTTTAAACTCTTCCAAACCCTTTTTCTTCATCGACACAATGGCAGCTCAACCACGTCCATGGTTCCGTTTAGGCTCCATGATCCGTCCCGCCCCCGGCCCCGCCCCTGCCTCTACACCCACTCCCGAACCTGCACAAGCTCAAGCACAAGCACCAGCGCAAGTGCCTGCACCAACACCTGCCCCGGCTCCGACACCGGCTTCACCGGCTCCGACACCGGCGAGAGAACTTTCTCCGGCGCCGACACCGGCTCCAAGACCCTCTCCTACAGTTTCACCCGTGCCTGCGCCTGCGCCAGCTTCGCCTGCGCCAGCTGCGTCTGCCCCTGCCGTTGCCCCTACCCCTGCCCCTGCCGATGCCGCTGCCCCTGCTCCAGCGCCAGCACCCTTTGCTGCTCCGGCACCTATAGTTCGACCGCCATTCAGGCCAATAGCTTCAGTCCCCGCGCCTGTTGTGGTTAGTCGTCCGGTAATCACTCCTGCGCCTGCCCCTGCTCCAGCGCCAGCACCCGTTGCTGCTCCGGTACCTATAGTTCGACCGCTATTCAGGCCAATAGCTCCAGTCCCCGCGCCTGTTGTGGTTAGTCGTCCGGTAATTACTACTGCTCCTCCCCCACCCACACCTGCACCTGCTGTATCGCCTGCGCCAACATCACCAGCTCAACGAGCAAGGTCACCACCTTCTACTGCTGTTTCCATCACGACAACTTCCTCGGTGCCTTCATCACCATATAGAGCCACTGCGGCCACCACCACTACCGCTGCCCCCACCGCAACTGCTGCTCGTTTGCCCAGTCCTACCCAGTCTCCCAAAACCGTAAAGCCTCCCGCGCCACAAACCACCTCACCTGGTAGGCCTCCCTCTCCTCTCACTCTACCAACCTCTCAGCTGAGGTCCAATGCTGAGCCTGAAGCCAGGATTCCAGCCGAGGCAGAGCAAAAGACCGTGCTGGTCCAAAGGACCATTGAAAAGCCGAGGCCGTGGCTTGGCAGCGGTGAGCCCCGCCAGACTGGCACTCATCACATTTCCACCACCGGGATTAAACCCAAGGAGAAGCTAGGCGGTGATAAGAAACCATCCGATTCTGAGGACATTGGCATGAGGATCATAACCCTTGCAGGGGAAAACAAAGGAGCTCTCATGGAGCTCATCAAATCCCCGAACAAAACTGGTGAAAGGTCCCGGTACCTTCACAAGAATGGCACTGGCAGAGTCGTGGGAAGCGACGGCAAAAACGCAGCCCACAGCGACAGCGACAGCGACGATGGAAAGGCGAAGAAGGACAAGAGTCAGAAAGGGAAGGCAAAGAATGGATTGCCAATGACCGCATTCATGAACAGCAACGTTCAAGGCATTAACAATTCCATTATGTACAACAGCAGTTGCACTCACCATGATCCCGGAGTCCACCTTGCTCTAACCAGGAAGCCGAATGGCAGCGGATTCCAGGTCAAGGACCGTGTCACTGGCCATGATCACAAGTAGAGAGAGAAAGAAAAAGAAAAAGAAAGAGAAAGAGAAAAAGAATAACTATTTGCATTGCCTTTTTTTTTTTTTCCTTCTCTCTCTCTTTTTATTATTTTAAACTTGTGTTTGGGCTTAGATGAGATTATACTTGTGATGTAAAGGAATAAAAAAAATGAGAGTGATGTTATGTGAGGTTGTGAAGAAAAGAGAGGCATGATGGGGTTCTGATTCTCTTACGCTTGGCTTCTCCTTTGGAGGAGTTTGACGTAAGGTTGTTGTCTCCGTTGCGTAATCTTATATTATAATATCATTAATAACTCTGGTCAGTTGGCTATGTTATTTCAGCGGCCCGGCAAGGTAATTTACTTGAGTTTGTATGGCCAACTGATGATATATATATATATATATATATATAAAATATGTAGTGAAAGTATTGCATTGCTATAATATTTGATTCCGATATGTTTTTATTTATTAGATTCTTATTAAAGACTTAAGTATTTTCATTTGTCCTTTCACTTGATGCCCATTTGTTGATATGGTATAATTTCGTCTTTAAAGCATGGAACTTGTGATTCATGCCCTTTTCGAAATAATTCTTCGAATTTCGGGGGTTTTTTTTCCCAATGTGGGAAACTACATTCAATTACATCTTTTGTAGTATTGTTCGGACGAACTTGTGACACTGAAAGCAGATAAATTTTCAACGTTGGATCTTACATGCTATATAATATTTACTGTTATACAATATTTCTTATTGGAGAATAATTCTACAAGATTTCTATTAGGAAATCCCATGTGTGTGTGTGTGTGTGCATATATATATATATATATATATATATTCGTTCAAACCACCATAAGTCTTGAAAATCAAACAACTAACTTCCCACCCTTATCCTTCCTTTCACTTTTCCTCCTGCCAAACAAGGCCGTTCTAGCAGCTAATGGCCTAAAGGGTTCAAAGAATAATTTGTTGTGTAAATAACAAAGAAAATGACGATGCTCGAGAACATTTTCCATTAGTTGAAAGCAACAGTGCTTAAAAACAGCATGGGGTATTCCCTGTTATTCTTCATTATTTGTCTGACGTGAGCGTCAGAGTGCCTTCTGCAGGTATACCCCTAGCGCCCATTGCGGTGAAGAGCGATGGAGAGCAGAAGAAAACATGAAGGAACTTTGATGTTGTGATTCTAGCTAGTCTAACGCTCAAAACAACCTTAAACTCGTAATTTCTTGCACATGAGATTCCTAGTACCTAAATTTTGGAAAACAAGTAACCAAGCAGTTTCTGCTAAGTTATTATTAGTACCTGCCACTAGGTTAATCTAACTTATAGTTCTGTGGCTCATGCTTTATCAAAAGCATTCCACTGCAAGTCAAATGAGGTGTCTTAGCAGCCCATGAGATCAACCTTGTTATGTTCAAAGCCCAAATGCCCAAATCAGTAACCAGGCCTTGGTCTTCAACTTGGGTTGTTAATAAATCTTTGAACTTCGACAATACAGATAATCTTTTAGATGTCCCTGAATTTCCATGTTGTCTGTCTAATCCAACATGTCTCCCTAGGAAACATTGAAAGGAGAGTTTACTCCTTTGCTTGCATCAGTATTAATTTGAACACAAAAATCTCCAAATTTTCTTCTTTCCTTTGTGATTTCTCGTTTTTTTTTTTTATCATCCTCCATTATGCGTGTGGATCCCACAAAATTCTTTTGACACTAATAAGCCAATAGAATACTTCTTTTATACACCGTATTTGGGCCTTCAAAATCTTACTACCAAAGTTACACAGTGGGACTAGTGTGTTTTCTAATGCCTTGCATGTGGATCTTATAATGATAAAAGGAGACTAATTTCGTGAGCAGAAAAGAAAAGGTCAAGGCTCTTCCAAATAAACCTCAGGTGCAATCATAATAGAATATCTGTCTGATGAGTTTTGGACCATTCAATCCCAAAAGGCTGTATCTGATTTTTCTTTTTCTATAACCTTTTTTTTAATGCATAGAAACTTAAAAATCATCTTTAAACTTTTATTATTTTTTTTCCCACTCGCTAGTTTCTATCTTATTGTTAAAAGAGAGAAAAAGACTTTCCTTGGTGCACACAACTAGTGGCTAGAGATTGAATGCATAAAATGGATTCCCATTTGCTATCTTTTCTTAGTAAAGATAAGGTTGATAGCAATTGTTGAACATGGTAATACAAATTTAACCGTGAAGATGGTAGGGAAAAAAAAATTCAGATATTACAGAATCTGGTGGCTTCTTTTTTTTTATTTTTTTATTTTTTTATTTTTTATAAACAATGGTGATCAATAGTTTGCAATCAGAAGCCAAAAAAGACTAATGGATTATGACACAAGAAAATTGATCATTTGCAACAAAGAAAAGCTTTGATGTAAAGAAAACAAATTAGTGGATCTAAAGTTGTTCTCTGATAATTCAGCAGACAAGACTCTTTGACACAGTCCTAACTATGTAGCATTAGTAGGTAGCAGTGTCTGTGAGTCACAAATTAGACCACTTGCATTTCTTCTAAGCTAGTGCCAAATCCACCTTTTTTTTTTCTTTTTTGGGTGATTTTGAAGCCAGACTTATTAAACATATGCCATTGTGCCCCTTACATCCAAATACTTTTTTTTTTATCAGTCACATTTCTTTTCTTCCCCTAACTTTACTTTTGTTTTTTTGTTTTTCTTTTTAGTAAGCTTCACATTTGTTTTGCTAAAAAACACAAGAGTAGAAATCGACATGGACCGAAATGTGTCCCACCTCACACCTGAAAGATGAAATCGGTTCACTTTACGAAGAATCCGAAGCGTTTCATTAGCTTTTTTAGAGCACCAAGGGACAGTACAGAGGCCTAACTCTGGTTCATGCTCACAGCTCACCACCCCAATTGGCTATGGCTTAAGGATTTCTAGCCATTACAGCAACCAGACAACTTGCTAAGTGTCAAACTCACTGCTTCTTCTATGTCTCCTTTTCCTCTTGGCTTGGCCCTTTTGGAAATTACCTATTCCAGTTAAGCTTTCATTTTCATAGAACATTCTCTTTGTAATTGTCTGATATGCCCTTGTAAGAGCTATTGCCAGCTCTTAGGCTCTCACCAAGTTCCTCCAAAAAAATTAAAACTAAATAAAATAAAAAGTCGAGTTTTAATTATGTTTATCTCAAGTAATCCAGGGATGAGATACACAGAAATTACCATATACATACAAAAAGAAGATAGTAGAGGCCTTGAATCAAATCATCTCTCTTCAATACTATAGTCAGCTTGGAAGCTATCTTTACGGTTTGATGAGCAATGCTTGCTGGGATTTAATATTAAGAATTAGGCTGCCTAATTCTATGTTATAGAGAACAATGAAATCGAATAAGAAAAACAAATAGGCAATAACATGCAAGATTTATAGTGATCACCCTACATTTCAGCCACTGCAGAAATACACTGATGAACAAGAAGATTACAAGACAGATCACAACCCACACCTCTTTCAACTTTTTTTGTGTTTTCTTTCACCTCTCTATTAACTCAAAAATGCAACCTCTTTATATATATAATTAGGACAAGAAGTTACGAGTGTGAAATATCTAAAGTACCCTTAATAAAATTTTGCTTTAGGGGTTCAGCCCTAATGCTGGGGCTTCCCGCCCCTTTTAACCACGTGTTGTCTCTACGCTAAGATAATAATTAGGCTTTTCAACTAAAGCTTCGTTTATTTCACCGATTCGAGTTTTGTTATAGTAAAAAGCTCTCAGAAACAGTCACATCTAATTTTTTTACTACAATAAAAAGCTATAACATAAAGTCACATCCCAACTCAAATTAAAAACTCGAATCAGCGAACTAAACGGGCTCTAAACATTTAACAGATGACAGATAACAATACTGTTTTCGAATTTGATTCTTGTGGAAAGTCTAGCCACCTCCAATCAATAGTTAAGCAGCCTCATTTGCTGGGTGTTTAACAAGTAGAAAGTGCATTTTGAGCCCAATATCGCTCTTAGTACGCCGGACAAGGGGATTAGATTAAGCAGTCCTAAGACTCAATACCGGATAACTAAAATCCCTCTTACCAACTTCAATATCCTAAATCAACACTACACTAGACATAGCATGTTACTTTCCAGTTCAATGCGGAACAACAATCCTTTCCATCATTGCTTGCAAACTGGACAATGAAAGCAAAGAAAAGCTCGAATTACTGCATTTATCTGAGTGATCGACAAACCCTACATCTATCCTGATGAGCCAAAACCAAAGCTCTCACTTTCTGTTGAGTAATAGTTCAGTGTACGTAAGTATTGAACGAGCCCCTTGAAATTTAGTGCCATAGAATTCATCATTTATATAGTTATAGAACATAAGACTTGATCATATATTTGTTAGGTGAAACATGGTATTGACCAAATGAGATATAAGCATCAGCACCTGAACCCTCACTTGTGATGTTTTTTTGTTCAATCCAGAAGAGAAAAATATTACCAAACAAAACAAGCATTTGTTCCTACTTTTTTCCATGTGAGATGAGACCTATCAAAAACTTCTTTCCAAGACAGGAAAAGGAATGGAGAGAAGGGGATCAAGGGAAAAAGAAAGATAAAAAGGGAAAAGAAGCACACAAAGGCATGCCATGATCAGTCATGGAATTCTCACATGGGATGGGAGATTTGTAATATTATCTATGACAACTATAATGAATGCTAGAGAGACATTCATATTAATTAGCTTTTCCTTGTTAAATATTCATTGTTTTTTATCGAACTTGCATTAACTAGCTTGACCATATGTGAATTAACGAGTCTTCAGAAAAAACTTTTTCTAGTTTTACTTTTTTTTTTTTTTTTTAAGATTGCAAGTGGCAATTATATGATCTGTACATATATGGTGAGTCCCAGCATGTTACCATTTGTTTCTTTCACATACCACATAGTTTCCTTTTAAGTTAGGACCCAAACCTTTTTGGGTTTTCAGCAGAACTATCAAATTATTCAATACTTTTTCCTGTTGGGATATCACTCTCTTTTTTTTTTTTTTTTCTTTCTTTCTTTCTTTCTTAAACCGAATTGGGCTAATTTAGAGGTATGCATGTATTTGTCTACTGTCTAGTGAGGGCAGACAGACGTCTGGAGAATGGAATGGAGACAGTACATAATTGCAGAAGCTGGCGAATAACTACTATTTAGGAAGGAGACATGAGAAAAAGCCTCAAACTAGTCTCTCGGATTCTCCATATTCCTACGGGGATTTAACAGATTGGATCATACTCCAAAATGACTCCCTAGTCCCTCCCTTAAATATTTTATATTCATGTCATATTATGCATGTGATGCAAGTGCAGTACATTCCTTTTTTCCCCAATCCAATATTATACTTTTTCTACAGAGATAATAGAATGACATGGTCGTACTTTTAAATAACTAACGCACTAACTTTATGTTGAGTATGTGGAGTCTAATTATCATTTTAACACAGAGTTAGTACGTAGATCAACGAGTTTTCCGATTTCGATTAGAAAGAAATATAGAAAATCTGAAAACATCATAATGAAAGCCTAGAATAGCTCAAAGTAAACCTAACTCTCACACGAAGAGTGAACTGATTACTTTTCTTTATTTTATGGATTATTATTATTAGTTTCTCTCAAATTTTAAGGGTATTCGCAGATTGCTCTTTAAACTTTAAAAATTTTTATTTTATTTTTTAAACTTTAAATTGTTCTCATTTAATCCTTTCTATTACAATTTATGTTAAAATCATATGAAAAAAGGAGAGGTTAAGTGTTGTCATGTAGTTTTTATATGTTTGATTATAACAGAAATTTAAATAAAAATACCACGCGATTGCATTACTCTCTTTTTTTCTATTAGTTTTTTTAGAGAAATTACAACAAAAAGAGTCAAGTGGGAACAATTTAAAATTCAGAGTGTAAAGTGAGATTTGTTAAAATTCAGATGGCAAATTAGAAATAACCCTAAAATTCAGGGACAAATAGTGATAATAATCCTTATTTTATTGTTCTCGTAAGAATTAGGGCATGTAATTCTCAACACCTAGGACCACTTAGGGCTCGCTTAGTTCGTTGATTCGAGTTTATAATTCGAGTTGAGATGTGACTTTATGTGAGAGTTTTTTACTGTAACAAAAAAATTAGATATGACTGTTTTTTAGAGCTTTTTACTATAACAAAACTCGAATTTTAAACTCAAATCGGTGAAATGAACGAGATCTTAACGGAAAAGAGTTATAACGGCTACATAATGCAACGTCGATGGAACGACACTTGGACGCAGAGCATTGGGCTTAATTATAGTACGGCACTAAAATATTGAAAAAAAAAACCCCCCGATTAAGGAAATTAGTATATTGATGGAAATATGAAAATGGAAGATGGATGTAGCATAAATAGGGATATGCAGGAGCGGGGGTAAGCACATCACTTCAAAGAATTTCGGCACATCGATCAAGCCAGAGAGACCCAACACACCGTTGCTCCTTTAAACACACTCTCATGCATACAGCATACGCAACCATAAGCAAAGCTACACCCCAATTGGGTCCCACTCTCTGAGGAGACTTGTCTCCCCTCGGCCATCCCCCAATTGCATGCTCCTCTGCTTTTAGTTCCCTTCTTCTTTCCCT